CATGGATAGGCACACGTCATCCAAAATGTAATTCCGGTCATGTGGCTTGAACCATGTCTGTAACCAAAGCCTTCCTCTAAAGGCTTACAAATAAAAAGACGTCCAGTTTTGACTTCCTTTCATTTTATTGACTCTGTCAGAGCAGGGAGGGTTGAAAAGGCCCAGTTCTGCAGGACTCATTGCTGGCAAACGCCTCCGACAAGTGCTGAGGGTGTTTTGGGCCCGAACAATGCCAAGAGCACTGGTTGTTTTCTTTTTGAACTCTCTTGTCCTAAAACTACACTTGCTACAGCTCTGGTAGTGGGAGGAAGATGCTCCTCCTGCACAGAGACTGCAAGCTTCCCAGTCTCCGTGTCACCTCCCAGGCTATGTGGGGCTGGCCACGTGGCACCCAAAGATGCAGGGAGAAGACAGTCTTTATACCAGGAATTCCTCCCGTGACCGCCTCTGCACCGTCAGCTCCTGCCCCGGCTCCCAGCACCGTGAGCCTCTTGTGCTTGTGCTTCTGTCTGCAGTTGTGTTCACAGAAGGAGCGATTGCATGGTGCTCAGTTCTGGCCTGTTGCTGGCCCTGCCTGGCCCTGCCAGCTCTCCACATGAGGAATTATCTTTTGAGGCAAGTTCTCACTAAATTGCTAAGTTTTCCAGCCTGGGCTTCAGTTTGCCGTCCTCCTGCCTCAGCCTCCCAGAGAGCTGGTATTACAGGCAGGCTGGGAAGTTGGGTGGGAAGGAGGTGGCAGAGATCTACACCAGCTCATGCTCCAGGGGTAAAACCAACCAACACACTTCAAGTGACAGACAACAGTGAGGAGATTGCAGACCACAGGTGGCGCTCACCACGACAAGCTGTGAGACTGTGTCACCACTCCGGTGGGGTTCTGAACACAGAGGAGGGGCGATGAGGAGACTGTGTGGACACAGCCGTGTGACAAATCCACCACGAAGCCTCCAGAAATGGAGCCCCTCTGCCTTTTCTCCTTGTTTCCCTCAGTGCTGTCTGCTCTGTGCACACGTGGTTTGGTTGTCCAGAGCCTCGAGGGACACCAGCTCCAGCTTCCTGGTCCCACATCTGCAAAGAGGAGGTTTCACCTTCCTGGGCACCCATGCATCCGTAACCTCCTGCCACCCAGGGAAGGCGCCCACCGACTCAGCCCCGCCCTGCCCGGGTGCACCTGGGAGGGCCACCAGCCGCTTGTTCTAGCTGGCTTCCCTCGGGAGGGAGGAGGCGGCACATCCTCAGATGCCTGCTGCCTCGCAGGGTGACAGCTGCAGCAACGGCAGGGAGAGATAACTGTGGGGTGAGACTTCAAAGGCAGATCCAGGGCAGCCGTCCCCACTCCCAAGCCACACCCCCGCCGCTGTGGCCCGAGGGAGACCAGGGCCGAGGTCCTCCTCAAGGCACCGGGAGGTCAGCTGCAGCCAGAAGGCAGGAAGGGTCTGGCAGGGCTTTAGGAGGCTCAGGGGGGGCCTTTCATCTTCGGGGAGAGCCAGCTCGTCACAGTGCGTTAGTCTGACCCATACTCTTGTTTTTATAACAAGTCACACTTCCTATTTTAAGACCCGGAAATGATCTCAGATTTTTTTTTAAATGTTAACTTCGTATGTGTGTATTTCTCTGGAGTCACTTCAATTACCCATCTTTGCAGAAATCATTTATTAAAGGCTGGCTCTATGCTCAAATGTCTGGTAGCCTTTGATCTTCAAGGAATGAGCCGTTATGGGAGAAACTGTCACACACACAGTTCAAGAGATGACTCGGAGGCCGCGGTTCCTTGCAATGGGTTGCACAGATGGCTGTTGGAGGAACCACATTAAAGGGCCACCGTGAAAGGTAGCGATTTCCTGTCTTCTCCATCTGGCAGGTCCTAACGAAATGCACCCTGAGGAGCAGACTCACGGTGACACTTCATAGACATGTGGACACGTGTGGCTGGGGATGGCTCCAAAAAGCCATTCATTCCGGGTGGTGTCTCTCCACACTCACCGCCCAATCCATCCCTCCTTTTGCTTGTCAACGACCTAATCCAACAAGGGTAAGATCATGCAACCTTTCTAAGCCTTGGTTTTCTCACCTGTAAAATGGGAACAAAAAATCTTACAATAAAGGCAACTCCCTTGTTTTGCCTCAGTTAACTTGATTTTGCAACTCTCAAGGAACTTAATTAATAGGTAAGCTATGATGTATTCTTATGTGGAATATCATATAGCCAATATGTCTCAAATGATGAGACAGGGGAGAAATACTACAAATAGTTAAGCAAAAAAGGGTGAAAGTTTGAAAGAAAAATTAAAACACTCCATGCAGATGATGGGCATAGTGTCACACCAGGCAGCCCCGAGAGTGTTAAACCATGTCTCTGGCCAACACACATACTGTCTCCTTATGAAGTCTGGTCCTTACTTCACTCTGTGGTCCTCTTGGCATGTCTCACTGCCTGCCTGGAATCCTACGGACTTGTGTCACATTGTATCTTCCATAACCAGCCCTCCTGTTCACTCTGCTGAGTTGGGTTGTGTTGACCTCACAACCCAATAGGAAGCCCAATTAATAAAAGAACCACGATGCCTTCCAATGAAGGAGTATTACGTTCCCCAGATGACTTCAGACATGGGCAAAACAGTAATGGTAATCGTTAGGTGAAAAAAAACCCGCAAGGAACTCCATCAGCACACGATGTTTGCAAGTAACAAAGCAGAACACCCCTGAATTTGTGTATATCTATATGCAAATGCATCCAAAAAGTATCAGGAAATATACCAAAATCATGGTAGATATTATTTGAGAGTAAGTTTATAGCTGCTTTTGAATTGCCTATCTTTATAGTTTTTGGAATTTTACCATTGCTACTAATCAGAAGAACAAAAAAACAACATGCTCTTATTAAAAGGCAAATTGTGATGTAGGAAAATTAAGATGTTTTTTTAAATCAAAGAACCAGGGAGAATTTTTATTTGTTTCCAATCTTACCTGTTTATCTATCAAACACTTTTAGAACAACTATTGTAAGTATGACGGCGTGATAAATGCAAAAAAGGAAAAGACAGATTTAAGGGAGGTCCTGATAGTGAGAGACATATTTATTTGGGGATATGAAACGTTTACGGGTGACGATTCAGGAAAGCAAGAAAGGGAGACAGGAAGAGCCACCCCAGGCTTTCTGAGGGCTCTCAGAAGGAGCAGCCCTGGCTCGGTGGTGGTCTTGATTCTTACGAGACTAGAGAAATCAGGAACACAGACATTTTTATGGGATTCATCAGTCTGAAACCTTTTCCTCACCCAGGCTTCTCCCAGATTTATAACTAAGCAGCAAAATAGCTTGCCTGGGAGAAGACCATCGACTTTTCCAGTGAGCTGTCGTGAAACAATACAAGCCAGGCAGCAGAGGGAAAAATAAACGGATTTGAACATGTCCCTCAGATTTCCTCCCGTGGTTCTTAAAAGTTATAAAATTTAATTTTTACATGCTGCAATATTTTCAACTCTGAGCACACTTTGTAGAAATGAAGCCTCATGGAAATTCAGGCTTATTAACATATCTGAATAAGAATTTTATTTGATTCCCTCAAAGTCGATACAAGTAAATTCATCTGCTACCTAGTTCTGGTCAAAAATATCAACAGTCTCTGCAAAGCACTGTAGTGGAACTTGGTGTCAAGATATCCAAATTTACCTCACATACAAAAATGAAAAACTAGAATAGTTTTATTTTGATGGAAAATTTATATGTGTTCAAAGTTTATAAATTTTCCCTTCTACTGGCTAATGGAAAATTTAACAACTTCAACCACAGCAAATGCAAATGGTTGGTTATTCCTCTGTGGCACAGTAGGAGGTGGTGCCCTAAAGATGCCTTGAATGTACCTGGCTGGTGGCAGAGGTGGCTGGGTGGCATGCGCTGTTTGCTTGGAAGTCATCCCCAACACAGTCTACTACATTCACGTAATCCATGAGACATTGAGCCAGAAATCGCAAGAAAATCAGAGGCTTCCTTTGGTCAAGGCCGGGACTTCTTGATACTTTCCATCAACTCTCCAAATGGAGACTTGGGCTCCAAATGCTCTCAGAAGACCCACATCCAAAAGCTGGCAAGGAAGTGTCCGTTCCCGGATGCCGGAGGTAGCTCAAGGCCAGGGCTGGGTGAAGACAAGGGCCAAGCCCAGCACCTCCTTGCCGAAGTGCTGAGGAGCTGACTCCTGTGCTTACCTCTTCCCTTCTCATCTGGTCAGGGCTCAGCAGCTGCATTCCCGAGCTGCACTGGGCCTGGCTCACAGGGCCAAACGGCCTCTGTATGGACCAGTCAGGGGAGGCCAAGACCAGCAGCAGCTGGGTCCTGGATGTGCTTTGGGATGACCCCCCTTCCCCCTCCCTGTGCCTTCCAGAAGCTTCTATTCCCCAAGCCAGGCCTGAGATTGTGGCACACTCAGCCATAGCCTGGGCACACGTTGGAAGTATCTTAGCCCAAGAAAGCGTGGACAGTGCTGGCTTTATCTTACCGTGGCTCCTTGACTTATGGAGCCCAAACCACAGCCTCCAAGGCAGTCTCCTAAAAACACCTTCTCAAGTCATTAAAAATATGCATAATATTATCATTACCATCTATAGGCCCTGTATTTCTAGTAACTGGCATTGTTACTTCGAGCCAGCCAGGAAAGCAGCATGCCAAGAACTGACACGGTGTGTTATGTCACCAAAACAAAAGCACACACCTGATAAATGTCGAGCTGGCTGCCCTGTGGGTTTCCCCCGCCTTCTACAAGTTGTAGCTTTCACATTTTCCATTTTCAATATGGTGTGAGGTGTTGAGTAACAGAAGAAGCTGACATGTCTCTCTCAGAGATACGATCTTGTAAAAGTACGGGGCTTACCAAATGGCACCAACTTAAATCAATTTTTAAAAAGGATGAACCGTTTCCTCTGCTTTGGATCTAATAATTTAGCATTTTATGTATTTACTTATTTTGTCCTGAACCCAGGTCCTTCACACAGAGCCACACCCCCAGTCCATTTTTATTTTTTATTTTCAGACAAGGTCTTGTAAGTTGCTGAGTTCCTCAGGCTGCTCCAGCCCCGGACTGTCAGCGTGCTGGGGTCACAGGCCTCGCCACCACACCCAGCTCTGGTTTTCCGCTGTTGATATTCCTGGAAGTATTCGTCTTCACATAGGGGTGAAAAAACACGTCCTTCTCTTGACGTCAAAACCCTCGATGGCCATAGCTGCTTGAAAGGAAGGCAGTGAGAGAGGGAAAGAGATATTGGAGAAGGGAAGATGGGTTCAGAAGACCCAGAGAGATGAGGGTACAGAGGTCCTACCCTCCAGGTCTCCTGCCTACCAGCCTCGCCCGTCATGGTGTGCATTTCTTTAACCAGCCTTATTTTGGGCCAACCCAGACAGACAGAGAAGAGGCTTCCCCTGCTGGGGAATTTTCATTGGCTTTTGTCTTCTCTAAATCTAATTCACATCCTGCATCTTGTAAAAGAGGAGTTGGCATTCTTCTTTGCATATTTGTGTGTGTGTGTTATTTGTTTGTACAGATCTCTATGCTCCCGACCAGTAAGTGAGTGTGCATTTACACTAGGCACTAACAGCCACCATGACAAGGCAGAAATGCTGAACGCTTCTTGCAAGGCTCTGCCCTTTCTCTGGACACACAGCTAGCCACACTCAGCAGGAAAGTTGCTCACTGACCAAAAAGATTCTCCTCACACTAGGAAGTGAGCATGAAATCAGTTGTTGCTGTCTGTAGTTTGACAACAGTTTAGCCTAATTTAACTAACACACCCACGGTCCTATTTTCTATGAACACACATATACATCATTTGAGCGGTCTCCTCAAAGGTCACATGAGCCCTTTTTAAAGCTGGCGAAGCATTTGATACTGTAAGAGTACATTCTCTCAGGAGGGTATCTCTCAGTTGTTGAAGGACTTTTGCATACATTCCCTCCTAGAGTCTCTGGAACAATTTTGCAAGGCAGGTATGACCGTTGACAGCTGAGAAACTTGGCTCCACCAGTGAAGCGAGTCTCCCAAAGTCACACAGCCAGGAAAGGAGAACAGGGAGCCTGGCTCACCCTGTTCACCAGTGAGCATTTGCACATCTTTCCAGAGCTCAGCTCCAGCTATACCCACACAAACTGTGCGGGGCACCCCACGTGGGCTTGGGCCGGCCATCGGTTCTTCTGTGCCCTCTGCCCCGCGTGTACACCCCCCGGTACTCACCCACATTCATGATGCCAACGTGGGCTCTGAGGGTTGCGGGTGCAGTAGAAGGTCTCGCTGCTTCTTTCATCCACCACAAAGTTGTGATTCCAACAGTCAGTGCGACACCGTGGTGTCATCAATGGTTCCAAGAGGAGAGCAGTGCGAGGGGAAGCTGACCACAGTGCAAAGACAGTTCTTCCTTTCATAGAAGTTAAGTGTGACTATCAAGCCAAAATATGTTTAGAAGCTGCATACGAGCTCCAACGAGGACTCCCTAATGTTAAAAACTAACCGGGACACAGATTACCCCTGTTGGGGCCAGAATTGCTTTAGCCTGGTTAGCTAAATCAGCTTTGGCATGGAGCATGATATTAAATGTCCTAAATAATTCCAAAGCATGACTCTGTAAAGTGAGTGTTAGTATAAATAATGCACGCATGCAGAGATGGACATATTAATGAGGAAAAAGATAGTATCTCCCTTCTCTCTGTTTTTTCATCTCACCCTTTTAATACATTTACTTCTGTTAAATGAACCAAGAGCAGACAATTAAAATTAAACACCTCACATGGTCCTGAAACTGCATGGGTTAGGAGTAATGATAGCAGCTCAGGGCTCACTCAGAGGAGTCACTGGAGGGTAAGGACTCTTTACAGCTCTGTGAGCCATTTATGAAGCTGGGCTTGAGGAACAGAGGCTTAAATCCTGCAGGCAAAATTATCACAGGTGATTCTCACCTCAGCAGGTCAGAAATGCAGAGCTCCTTGCTGCAGGAATGTATCAGACAACAGAGGAGGACCACCTGGAAAATTCTAAAAGCCCCACCACCATTGGTCGGTCCAGGACTGGCAGTGGGAAGGGTGAGCAGGATTCTTTTGGACTGAGTTTCCTAGAACACACCTCGGGTGTTGCATCGAGGTAGACAGGATAGGAGAGCCACTGGTGAGCTTTCCTGGCTGAAAGACAAGATTCAAACAAGCTGTTTAGCCTTCGGTTTCAGCGTTCCCAAACATCATAAAGATGCCGGCTCTTGTAAAAAGGAGCCAGTTGTTTACAATAGACTATTCTGCAGGGAGTGGGTGTGTCTCATAAGGCAAATATTTGCCCATAGGAGGTAATAAAATTGTATTAAGCTCTTACCCTACTACTGTACGTGGTCACCAACAGGATTAGCTCACCGGAGTCTATTTTAAGACTCTGTCGGGCACAAACATTAACAAAAACCTGGCCTCTCTTCTGGAGAATATATAATTGACCTTTCAAGTCCATAATCTCATTTATCAAAGCGGATGGCAAGGATTTATGCAGAATACTTTGCACACCTCTTTGATTTCAACCCCCTGAGAACCCAAACATGCTTCCCACCCAATCCTGTTTTATTTTTGCCATATCCTGTGTGGTTGAATGGCCCTCTTGTAAAAAGTGCAATGTGAACCCCTCTCCCATTTTTTTCCCCTGAAGTTCTAAACAAATCTTACATCAGTTTTGTAAAATGTGCAGTTCTCTTACATTCCTTAGGCAGACTGTAAAGGTCAGAGTTCTGAAGAGTGGAGGAAATCTATTTGCATGAACAAGAATCTGCATGGCTCCAAGAAGGAAAGCAATGCAGTTGGTGTTTACTTGAGCTTAGACTATCGCTTCTCCCCTGTGTTAGATCTTTTAGCTAAAGCCTCTTGCAAAATATGCACTGACCTCCAGTACTGTTTCTTCATTACAGTGACAGTGAGCTGAAGGCACAGAGCCTTTGGTCGACTGGGAACCAAAAAGACCTTGGGATCAGGGCCTGGCCACCTCCCTTCAAGTTCTCCGCAGCCATTAAAGCTTTTCCAGTCTTGGCCTCTGACCCTTGACTTAACCCTTTCCCGTCCCACAAGATCTCTCAGCACCACCCTTTGAAATGATGTCCTCTTTCCATAAACATTCATAAAACAATGCTTCTCATAAACATCCAAGCTTTGTAAACATTTAGCTCTACATTCGCTTTCAAGTCAGTTCAGGTGCTAACAAGGATCCAGACTTCTCTTTGTGTAGGGGTCAATGATGTGCGCAATCCAACGACACACACCAAGGCAGCGCTGGCCCCCCCCCCCGTGCTATAAAACTAACAAACAGTGCAATAAACACAGGATACATTCCAGAGGAAGCCCGAGCTCCCAGGTTAGCTCCGTGACTCAAAGCAGCAGGCTCCCCAAATCAACAGTAGTCGGAAGACTGGGGTGTGAGGATAGAGAAGGATTACATGTCATAAGAAAAAGGAAATCGTGTTGATAATGGTTCTTGGGGTCTCTGCCAGCAACCCCAGCCAACCAGCCTGCAGGTGCATCAGGACGTGCCAAGCGTGGGTCCAGCGCCATCAGGATTAGGAACATTCCTCATGCAGATCAAAGCAAGACCCTCCGAATAATTCTTTTATTTAATACAAATATTGCCACCAAAATAGAAGAGCTCCAGAAGGCTCTGAGAATACATTAAGCTCCAGAAGGTTCTTAGACTTTATTAAGTCAAGTTTCCAGATGATCGTGCTAGAATGAACCTGGGGCTGGTCCTGTGTATCACCTGAGACTCTTCATCTGTTCATTCTCTTTCTTTCTTAATGCATTTGTTGGGTGTTGACAGTGTGCAAAGACTTCTGCTTTGGTGCAGGTCTGAATTTGGGGGCAGGATAACACCACGGACAGGTTCGGACGTCATTCAGATCTTCGGCCGGTCACACTAGACATTATTTAGCTTCTCCAAGTCCCTCCCACTTTGCAGTGCCTCTGTACAGAGCAAGTGAGATAATGCAGGGGAGACCGCTGGCAGCACCCTCCTGCAGACGGACGCACCCAGCGCACATGAGCCACTGAATAAAGCCACCATTTCTAGTGCAAAGACAGAGTTTCTGAAGATGAAAACACACACATCCACCAGATATGCAGAACCAAAGGTGTTCCCAGATCGAATCACATACAAACACAGCACTCAACTCTCACACTTCCCTTCAAGTAAATATTTGCTGTGAAATTTATTTGCACACTTTTGCTTGAGCAGCCAGGGAAAAGAGCCGGGTGGGTAGTTGTGGGGGTGGGGGGCCCACTGTGGATCCGCAGCTGGGTCACTACAAATCCTGTTTTGTCTGTCCCCAAATGTGGCTGCTTCTGACATCTCCAAGACCATTTTTTTTTTTTTTTTTGGTCTTTTTTTGTTTTTTATCGGTACTGGGGATCGAACTCACAACTGCCTGCTTGCAAGGCAGGCACTTATGCCACTGAGCTAAATCCCCAGCCCCTCCAAGACCATTTTTACTGGTCTCTAAATTACTCCACTATCCATCTGAAAAAAAAAAAAAAAGAAATTGCCCACCGAAGGGGAGACATGGAGCCAGCACGTAATTCTCTGCTACTTCATGAGATCAGTGAAGGGCTTCAGCTTTGGAGTCATTTATCACAGGCTCCTGTGTGTCCTAAGATAAACTAAGAGCTGGTGGTTGTCTGTCCAATGACCAGTGTTCTCAAAGAATCCTTGGGCTCCCGAGGCCCTGTCCTCCCCAAGCTCCAAGCAGAACCTTCTGGGAGTGATGGACGCCTCTTTTGCAACCAGTTAGCACCTGCTCTAAGATGTGATCCCTCCTGATTCCTTTCAAGTGGAGCCAAGGGAGCAGGGCTTAATTAGCAGTGATATATCTCTCCTCCCAATCAGCTCCATGCAGCTCCCCTGGGGCCCCACATTTGTCTCTATTTGGAATTCCCGGGCTGGCTGGGTGGTTGTGTTTGCAGCGAACTGGCAGATGCTTGCCAGGCTGGGCACTGGCGCACAGGTGGGCTGGGGGAGGCAAGTCTCAGCGGCTTCATGCGGCCAGCGCCTGCAGCCCAGTGCCTGCAGCCCAGGGCCAGGCCAGAGACCACTCCTTCAAGGCCCAGCAATGGGCCCGTGGAGGCTGTGGAAGGAGCACTGCACACAGAGTCACCTCAGTGCTCTCCTCAGGAAGAGCCAGGAGGTCTTGCCTCGTCCTGGGAGTTTGTAAAGGGCCCCAGGGTGACAGGGGAGGAGGGGAAGATGCCTCCTGCTCTATATCAGCTTGAAGCCAAAATAACATGTTTTGGCAACCATGATTTGGCAATTAGGGCCTTACGTTCACTGAAAGCATTCTTCCATGCAGAATAGGCCTTGGAAAGAAAACACTAGACCACATCTGAGTGAAAATACAGGAAGTGGACAAAGGGGAGGCAGAGCAGCGGGCATCAGCACAGAGCAGGGAACGGGGGCCTGGGTCAGGGTGCATTTCCAACTCTAGCCCTGTGCAGGAGGGGCACAAGCTGAGTATGGTGGCACCCTGCACATCCACCCCCTCTCCCCGCCCTCCAGTGGGACTCCACTCTTTCCTGGGAGAGTGGACTGTGTCTGCCCGCATCACAACAGGCGGTGCACAGTCCAAGCTGCCCACACTCAGATTCCCAAGGGTGTGCCTAGGGAGAGGACAGGGGCTAGGACACCCCCAGAGCCCCAGTCCCCTTTAGGGACAGAAGCGCCTTTGGCTCTCTCCCCTCAGCGTCAGCCCACTGGAGCAGAGAAGAGGGGAGGAGAAGTAAGCAAGATGCCCCTTGCAACCACAGCACGGAGAGAGCAGGCAAGCAGACCACAGGCCCCAGTGGCAGATGCTTCCGGAAACCAAGGGAAGAGGTGACACCAGGCTGATGATTGCAAAAGGCTGTCTGTGTGGTCCTGGGAATGTCACACACACACACACACACACACACACACACACACACGTTGCCACACATTGCAGTCCACACCTCCATACAGGCTGCGGTCTTTCTTCCCTACCCCTCCCCACTCCCTGAGTTTTTTGATGCAAAACTTAGTCAAGGTAAGATTTTCGAAAGCAGGAAACCATGCCCAGTTACACCTTCCGCACAATAGCAAGGCTCCACAATGAGCTGCAGGAAACCACATCCTGCAGTGCAGCTGCTGCGGAGGGAGACAGAGAGGGGTCAGGACACCTGGACTCGCCTTCTTACACCCCAGGAAACTGTCTGCAGGTTACCCCGAAAGATTTGAATGGATTTCACTGAGAACAGATAGAATCCAAGGGTCACATGCAAATATACCACGATCGCTTCCAGTTTAATTTTAAATTGTAAATTTCTAGCCCTACATGTCAGCCTAGGAATTCAGGGATCCTGGGGAGCTTACACCCAGCCACTGGGTGAACCATTTTTCATTTAATCAGTAGGATCTGGCCGTTTCTACATTCTCTGTTTCTATATCGTGCATTTCGTAATTTGCCAGGCTGACATTCCTGAATTCAGTGTTCATAATACAGGTACAGTGCTGGCCTTTTAAAATCAAAGTATTATTTATTTTTATTAGCACAACAAGTTTAAAGATTCTAGTGGCTACAGACTAAAACGTTTAAGTGATTATAATTCAGCGCTAGCATTTTGCAATGATCATATCCCCGCCTCTTTTAAGTGAATGAAAGAACATTACCCTATCAACTTCTTTCCTTTCAGGGCCGTCCTCTTAACTCCTTTAGATGGTAGTTGAGTGGGTCAACCAGACCATACAGACAAGGAGGAAAAGCGCCGTCAGCCTGCCCTGGGTCTGAACAGCTCTCTGTCACTGCTGTTCTGAGCCTGTTTTATCCCTGTGCCCACAATCCCGGA